GTATTAGAAAAAGAAAATGATAAGGACAATTTACTGAATATATTTAATAACATTCATCCATCAATTAATTTTACATCAGAAGATGAACAGAACGATAACATATCATTTGTAGATGTTCAACTAACTAGAAGAGCAGACGGAACTTTAAATAGAGGGGTACACAGGAAGTCTGCAACAGGAGCTCAGTTCGTTCCTTCTTTATTTACCACATGACAAAATAGGAATTTTCACTATGTAGTATGGATTTTCTCGAAAGAAATACTTAAACCGGCTATTTTGTCACAACGAAATTAGGTTACATCTGTAGTGAACAAGAACAACAACAGGGACAACCAATTCTATTTGAATGAAACATTACAGAAAATCTTAGTAAAATCTGAGAACCATACAATAAAATCTTGATTTACAAAATATCAGTTAATCGTATTAAACTTCATTGTTCCGTCGTTTCCACCGTAATCCTTCTTTGTTCTTGTCCTCTTCTCTTTGGTCTTCTTAGCGTTCTACCGTCAGGCATTTCACTTTCGATTGATGATGATACATACTACTTATATCTATCGACATCAGCAGCACATGCCACACTACTAGTATACGATTTAAATCAGGCCAACACAATCAATGGAGTAGATATATGTCGGACATAAAATAATTTTAATTATCAAACAATCGAAGAATTCAACATTCATTAGGAGAAAAAAAGTCCATTGAATTGAACAAATGATCATATCTCAAGAAGTATAAAATGATCCTTTGTGGAACTAGTAAATAAAATAAAAAGCAAATAAATTCACTTGATGTTGTTATACTTGTATCTTCCGATTGTTATTTAGAAATGCAATTGATCAGTCTCCTGTTGACATATGTGCATCCTGTGCGGGTTGCCTCGATATAGCCTTAAGTCAGAAGCTATTTAAACAAAGACGGATCAAAGATGATCACCAAAATCATAGAAGTTATAAACTTCTGATTAAAACTATATGCTTTTCAAGTAAAGATGGATAGTGCCTAGCAGTGGTATCCGGGACGCATGTTTCGTCCTATTTATGTCTCGTCAGCTGGATGTACCCGCATTCCAGGATTGACATCTTCTTCGGGACTCGAACCCGGTGCCCTTCGCTTCGAACACCATCGCATTATCCACTTTGCTACTGAGTCCTGACATCCACTTGCTTGTGCATTGGGGTGGAGTTAAGTTCACTTGGTGTTGTTTACTCGTATCTTCCTATGTTATAGGACGAAACGCGCGTCCTGGATTCCACTGCTAGGCACTATCCATCTTTACTCGAAAAGCATATAGTTTTAATCAGAAGTTTATAACTTCTATGGTTTTGGTGATCGTCTTGTTGTGCTTATGAAGTATGGCAACTTGGACTGATATATATATATATATATATATATATATATATATATATATATATATATATATATATATATATATATGCCTGGTTCTAAATTGTAGCTAACTGACTGAGAAGTTTATCATAAAAAAATAACCTCAGTTTGAAGATATTTAATTATACTTATGCTGATGGTATCTGAACAATGGATGTTGAGTATTTTGCGTAGACAACTAATTATAAATACTTGTACCTTCTTGGTTGTTGTAGTTCTCCAAGTTTCAGTTCCGTACAGTAGAACTGCCTTGACGTTCGTATTGAAGATTCTCACTTTGATATTGGTTGAAAGTTGTTTTGAGTTCCATATGTTCTTCGATTGTAGGAATGCGACTCTTACTTTGCCAATCCTTGCCTTAACGTCTGCATCTGAGCCTCCTTGTTCATCGATGATGTTTCCCAGGTATGCGAAGGATTCTACATCTTCCAGAGTTTCGTCATCAAGAGTGATTGGATTGCTGTTCTCCGCTTTGAATTTGAGGACCTTGGTTTTCCCTTTGTGTATGCTGAGGCCTACTGATGCAGAGACTGCTGCCACACTGTCTGTATTTGTCTGCATCTGTTCGTGCGTATGCTATAGGAGGGCTAGGTCGTCTGCGAAATCCAAATCGTCTAATTGATTTTGAGCTGTCGATTGTATTCCGTGTTTTCCTTCAGATGTCGAGGTCCTCATAATCCAGTCGACCACCAGAAGAAAGAGGAAGGGAGAGAGTAAACAGCCTTGTCTTACTCCGGTCTTTACTTGGAATGCATCTGTCAGCTGTCCTCCATGCACGACTTTGCATTGTAGTCCGTCGTATGAGTTCCAGATAATATTGACAATCTTCTCAGGAACTCCGTAGTGTCGAGGAAGTTTCCATAACATCCTCCTATCCACACTGTCAAATGCCTTTTCATAATCAATGAAGTATATAGTGATGAGTTCCACTCAACTAATTGTTCGACGATGATCCGTAGTGTTGCAATTTGGTCTGTGCACGATCGATCCTTACGGAATCCAGCTTGTTGATCTCGAAGTTGGGAGTCTACTGCATCTTTCATCCGGTTCAGCAACACTCTGTTAAAGACTTTCCCTGGTACTGACAGTAGTGTGGTGCCTCTGTAGTTCTCACATTTGCTCAGATCTCCTTTCTTTGGAATCTTGATGAGGTGTCCTTCTTTCCAGTCCATCGGCATTTGTTCATCCTCCCGAATCTTTTCGAATAGAAGATAAAGCATGTTCGTAGTTACTTCGATGTCTGACTTCAGTGTTTCAGCTGGTATGTTGTCCGGTCCCGCTGCTTTCCCGTTCCTGATGTGTATGACGGCCATTCTGATTTCTTCCGTCGTTGGTGGGTTGACGTCTATGGGAAGATTTGTGTGTTCCACTTCGATGTCTGGTGGATTCATTGGAGCCGGCCTATTCAGGAGTTCCTCGAAGTATTCTACCCATCTGTCTCGCTGTTGTTGAATTTCAGTGATTGGCCTGCCTTCTTTGTCTTTGACCGGTCTCTCTGGTTTAATATATTTCTCTGCTAGTTTCTTCGTTGTATTGTAAAGCTGTTTCATATTTCCTTCTCTTGCAGCTTTTTCCACCGTCGTTGCTAGTTCTTCCACGAACTTCTTCTTATCGGCTCTAATGCTCTTCTTCACTTACTTGTTTGTTTTTATGTACTCAGCTTGTGCTTGGAACTTCCCTGCTCATGTACGACTGTTGTTAATTGTTGTCTTCTTATCCTTCCTTCCTTTGATCCTGTACGGTGTTTCTATAGAGATCCATTCCGCATGATGATGCTTCTTGAGACCCAGAACCTCTTGACATATTGAAGTTAATCCTTTCTTGATACCTTTTTAACTGTCCTACATAGTAGTTTCTTCTTCCTTCAGTAGATCCTATAAGGCTTTGAACCTGTTGTTGAGAGCTATCTTGAATTCATTGAGTTTGTCAGTATCTTGAAGGAAAACTGTATTGAACCTTTGTAGTGCTGTTTGTCCAGATGTCCAGTTCTTATTTAGCTTCAGTTTTAAATTGGCCACAACTAGGTGGTGATCTGAAGCTGTGTCAGATTCTCTCCTGGTTCTCACATCTTCCATTGTCCTTCGGAACTTTTAATTGATGCAAATATGATCTATCTGGTTCTCTGTAGTGTGGTCCGGTGAGATCCATGTAGCCTTGTGTATACGTTTGTGTGGAAATATTGTGCCTCCTATGATCAACTTGTTGAATGCACACAGATTTGCAAATCTTTCCCCATTTTTGTTTCTCTCTCCCAGCCCATGGCGTCCCATGGTATCTTCATATTCGATGTTGTCTATTCCTACTTTAACGTTTAGATCTTCCATCAGAATGGTGAGGTCCTTTCTTGGGAACTTCTCTATGATTGATTGCAACCTCTCATAGAATTGATCTTTAATGTCATCGTTGCTATGATTTATGGGTGCATAACATTGGATAATATTCATTGTAATTCACTCCTTTTTTGAATTATGCTTTGATGATTCTGGATCCGTGAGACTCCTATCCTACAAGTGCATTTCGTTTTACTTTGGACAGCATTAGAGCAACTCCCCAACTGTGTGGAGCATTTTCCTTTTCCTGACTGGAGTATAGTAGCATCTCTCCCGTATTTAGCCTTTTCTGTCCAGCTTTTGTCCAATGGGTTTCTCTGATTTTCAGTACAGTCAAGTTGTATCTCCTTATTTCCGTAGCAATTTACCTGATTGTCCTGGTCTCCTACATTGTCCGGACACTCCATATACCCATACAAATTGTTGTTCTGATTGTCAGAAGTGACATCCGCCTCGTGACTTTCAAAGAGTCTCGGCTTTCATGATGAGGCGTCATAATTCGGACTAAGAGGACAGAGTTTAAATGGTCTAATTTGTTTAATTTGGTTGGAGTTTTTTAGCAAGATTTTTTCCTACCGATTGGAGTTGCCGACAGTAATTCTAGAAGAGCTACAGGCGGAGTCAATAACATTAAGTGATAATCGAAAATGTAATGGAAAAACTACGGAATTGTACTTTTTAAAGATTGATTAAGTAAACACTAAATGAGTTAAAAAATCAAGGAATACTTCTTAGTTCAAGTTGGATAGATTAACTAAATCACATATTTACCCCATTGCACAAGCAGGTGGCTATCAGAACTCAATAACTAAGTGGATAACTCGATGGCGTTTGAGGCAAGAAGTACTGGGTTCGAGTCATAGAATGAACATCAACCCTGAGATTCAGGTACATCCAGCTGACGAGTCCCAAATAGGACAAAGCACGCATCAAACTAGATTCCAATACCATGAACTAATCATCGAATCAATTAAGCAGTTAATTATAAAGCTAGCAGAATGAATATATGCGTAGGTGGTAAGCAAATGTTCAAGTATACATATTACATACAAGCACAACAATAATAAAGGTACAATAAGTTGTTATACTACGGATGACTTTGTCCGCAATATAAGTTATCAAAAGGGCTTTAACCGAATGAAATGAGAACAAACTCAGTTGTACGTGAGTTGCTAAATGCTTTGAAGTTTAATATAAATAAACAAACGATGAAAATCAATTATGTTTTATAATATATAAGTTTTCAAATTCAAATTATATATCCCGGTAAATTGTTAAATGGATAAATGGATGCATTTGAACTATTACAAGTACTGTTTATGTTACAAACCATACCAGTAGTGGTTAAATATGTAGCTGAAAACATATTATATAATAATAATGCAGCCAAAGTATATTCTGTACGAAAGATACGTAATTGTAATTTGCCAACTGTTATTTGACTGATAAATATTGTTATCTATAAAATAAATGAAGTGAAACAGTTAGATTAAAACTGATAACGAATACCTTGGTTGACCAAACAAACAATCTTCATTGAATATATATTAAAATAATGATCATGAATCGATTGATGTTAGACTATCACTGAAAACCTGGAAGTGATGGACGGCCGTTTCGTTCTAGTTTAGGACTACTAAGCAGTGGACATCCACGATCCAGCCCGAGGGATTCAAACCTATTGGAATGAGGCAGTTACTAACCGCACACAGTATAATATCGCTCCACAATTTCGTGGATCGATTAAAGTTGGACACTAACATCGTCGGATTCCGGCTTACTGGCCTAGTTGTGAAACGTTCGTTTGTGTGACTGAAGGTTTTGAGTTAGAATCCTGTAAGTGAGGTCGACAGTGCAGACTGTTAAGGAAACCTTCACTAAGACGAAACGGACGTCTCATGTTTCCATGTTTTCAATGGTGGTCTAAAAGCAATCAGTTCACGAACTCTGTCAAATACGTAACAATCTCCAGAATCTCATACTGGAAAATGTTTCATTTTAAGGTGTAATATGCCAAACCATACTCGATTTCATTTATGTGAACAATATTTTCAAGTCACATTCACCAGCTTTTGTAATAAGGCGATGAAGATCCATAGGACAGATCCTTCAGGAATGTAAATGATAAGATGATTTGTAAAATACCAAGAGAGTAAATGTTTATTGGCGCATTGAATATCTGACTCCATTTGAATCGTACGAATGATCGTTATCGACTTATACATATAGCCAATCCTCATATATGATGATCGACTTAACTCGCGTTAGTGAATAAGGGAATTAAAATAAGTCATATACGAGAATGAAGTTTTGAATATGTGTATTTGTACAATTGCCGATCGAATATTGAAGCGAAACAAAATGATATGCAATAAAGAAGGCGAGTGAAACAACTCACTCAGCGAGTCTAGGGAAAGAGCTGAGCAAGGCAAGGCGAAGTGAGTAATTACCAAGGTTCAAAATATGACCCAGGAAGAATGAATAAATTGGTCCGTCCGTGAGCTGAAATAAGGTAGGTCGGCTTGACATAGTGCCAATTACTACAAATTTACTTTAAATAAATGAAATATAGATGACTTTAACTCACAACAAATAGCAATATATCTGTAAGTATGTAGAATATAATCGCTGCTGACTGAAAATGAATTAGAAATATTGATGAGTTTGTATTTAACTAACGGAAGTTGTATATAAATCGAATATTATGAAAACATGACTGGATTAAATGAGATAAACAATGTTACTGAGGTTACGTATACTAAACCTCTAGAACACTCAAGTCAAGATGTTAAGCATTCGTGCATCGTAATGAAGGTCCCGAACTCGAATCTCGGTTGTAAAGTTCGTAGATGCGCATCGCTGAATCATCAGCCAATGTGTTGGCATCCAACAGTGTTAATATCTAACTCCAATCGACCTACAACATTGTGCAATTATCTTCTATAAGCTACTTTCTTACACCCGACACGTATTATGTCTACTGGCCTTACTGGAGCCCCGGAAATTTTTCTAAATGCTAGTCACTGCTGAGATTGTTGAATTTCAAACCTGATTGATTCGTCCATAAATTATGGTCTGTCGGCTAAGATTCTAGTTACTGATTTGAAAGAATGACGATAAATATTTTCCGGGATCTCAATTATCCAAATTTGATGACAAATATAAGTTCATCTTCTAAATTACTGTAAGAGTGAATGATATCATCGGATCCAACATAAAAATCTCAGCAGCGTTACCACTGGGTTATCCAGGTCGCAAATGACCTCTTGTTAGACTGAAATGTATATACAATTTATTGATCGCTGGGTGGTGATCAATGTCATGTGAACTAGGTCCTTCTTACTGCAGGTCGAATCCTATCGACAAAGTTGCAATGTGGTCATTAGTCTAGGTGACTCGACATTGTATGCATTATGTTGTGATAAGATGGTGGTTGGATTTAGTCGACAGGAAACTCTGGACTCGCGTTTCGTGCTATTTGGCAGTCGTCAGTTAGGTGTCTAAATACTAAATAATATCTGACAGGTTTGTACTTATTTTGAAAATATACATAGTATACAGTAACGTTGAACTACACCTGAGTATCTCACAAAGAATACCGCAAAATCATGATGAATTAATTTGTAAATGAATTAATTATGCTTATTGACATACCGCGTGTTTAAAAATTGTGATTAAAATAACTGCTCCAGCAATTAAAATAGCAGCGATTATAAACAGTATTAGAATAGCCGTTAAATAATCTGCTAATCTTGTTTTGATAGCTGCACCAATAAGTAATGCCGATGTAAATAATATTAGACTGATTCCAAAAGCACCAAGTTTAGTAACGATATCCACCAGTATATCTATTATTTCAATAGCTGTAGCTAAGGTTATCGTCTGAAATTATGAAATGGACGATGCACACCATTAAACAAAAAATGTATTCAGAAGTTTGATGATATAATATTTATCAATCCATGATTTAGTCGATTCAGATTGTTCGTCAAATTTCTAATAAGATAATAAACATTTGTCCTCCTAACCATTACTTCGTGCATTAATAAACAATTGTTCACACAAGATGCTCAATGTCTGTTGAACGGAAAACATCAGCAACAGCCGACTTCTGTGAGAGGAAACAAAATAGGTTGCAGCTCAAGGGGATATTTGGGAAAGACGTTGGAGGTGAATAGGATGTACATAGTGAAAATCATCTAACTGTATCACAAGGCAAGCACAAACTTGGAATCCTAAACGAAAACGGAAAAGAGGAAGGCCAAGAAACATACTGACAGGAAAACTTGTAGCAGACATGGTCAGGATGAATAACAACTGGAAACAACTGGACAGAATTGCTGTCGACAGATTTGGTTGAAGATTGTTGGTAGGCGACCTGTGTTTCTACATGAAGGTCACTTGACATAAGTCGGTTCATTAATTTTTCTAGAGGACTTCCGTAAAAACACCGACTGAAGTGTTGAAGAATAATGCAGCAATTTACGTAGACAAATTCCAATGCAAATGTTTTTCAGTGTATAAAATGCTATGAAATTTATGATTGAGACGTCTTCAAACTATCTACTGCAAAATGCATAATCTTAGGTTGTGTTATACTTTTTTAATTGAGATCATAAATCTATCAATGTTAGACTAGCAGTGAAAACCTGGAAACACTGGACGACCGTTTCGTCCTAATATGGGACATCTCAGCAATACGCATACACGAGGTGTCTCATACTAAGACGAAACGGATTATCGAGAGGAGAGAATAAGGTAAATGAGCTTAACGTAATAACCGACACTAGTAATCGTTCAGAGATTCAATTTGATTGGTTTATACACAGAAAGGTTTTAATATTTGCATGACAGCACTAATTAGTAACAAAACATTTAGTCTGTATTACTGTATAGATCAATCATTGACAAACGTTCATTATATAATCCATCAAGTTACTGTAAACAATATAAACTTGCTTCATACAATGAACAATCATGTTGCCTAGTTATATTAGAACATAACTCATCAATTCAATTCAATATTCTTACATAAATAAACAAAGTAATAACATTCAATGGGAATGTATCACTTATTTCCTTCACAAATGCGATCAATAATCCTGTCACAACTGCAATGAAGCTATAAAGTAGAGAAAAGAAAATACGCATCTATACACAGTGGAGTATCTATTTATAATCTACAAATGAATGCAATAAGATTCGGATATCCTAACATAGTAAAAAGGCAACGGTTACGGATGAAAATACGATAGTTTGATAGGTCATGTAGAAATGATGCTTTTTCAGTTCGAAAATTGTTTTGAAGGAAATGTTGTTTGTTGAAGTTAGACATTAACACTGTTGGATGCTGTTTCAGTGGTCTGGAGGTGAAGCGTTCGCGCGTGAGACCGATAGGCTCTAAATTTGGATCACGAGTACGGGAACGTGTATGCGCGCTGTTGAGGAGTCATATGCCAGAACAAGACGGCTGTCCAATTATTTTTGTTCTTACATGGTGGTCCAGCTTTGATTGAGTCATGAATTCACTTATTAAATCATCATAATCATAATTCTTAGTTGTTTATCATTCAAAATGTGACCTAATATTTCAGTTTCCTTACTCACCGTGTAATTAACTTCGCTACGATGTAAGTAATTCAGTTAGGGAAGTTTTTTTAAAACATGTGGCTTACCATATTGTCAGGGAGATCCAGGATATTCCCTGAAAAACCTTTAGAAGGCACGGAAAACTCTAGGAAATGCTTAATCTAATCAGCATTGCATAAACGTTTCCAAGAAATATCTAGAATGTGAAGAGTCGCGTCTGATATTTCTAACTGGATGATTACTCATCCTCATTCCATGTTTAGAAGAGTTCCGGGAACTTCCAGAAGTACATGGTTATCTGAAATGCTATAAATACTAATGATTTTCTGAACACAGGCTAACGCTGAAATAAGCGTTCTTTCCACATTTCATACCTTTCCTCTCGTGTTCATGTTGTCACGTAGATTTAGCCTGTGACCTACTGAAAGAGCTTAGGAAACCAAATCAAATGTTTAGTCAGAACATTTGACACAAATGAAGTGAAGTCATTCAAACAATGTCAATTATAAACATAATTTCGTTGAATGCTTTATAAATAGAGTTAGACATTTCTAACAGTCTAGCATCTAAATAAATCTCATGATTTCAATGAATAAACTATTGAGAATAGTTTGGTCATTGATTAATCTAAACAAAATATCAGTTGGACTGATTAATAGAAGGATATAAATCACAATATTCTTTTTCAATGTTTACAATTTTTTAAATTAAAACTATTGAACAGACTACATTGACTGCTCACACTTGTCATAATTATGATGCTGGTTTATGTTAATCATATATTCAAACCCTGACCTATCAACTGACTCATATCCTCCTTTGAACAGTCAACTGAAGCAGTGTTCTGAAGTGCGCCTGTTTTTTCGACAAAGACAAGTGAGTTTATTTACTCACTTGTCGTAGTTAAGAAAAATGATGGAGTTATAAAATATATACGACACTTTGGTGACGTCAAAGTGTTTTTGAGAGTGTCTACATACGTTTTTTTGGTTTGAATGACAGTTATGAAGCAGTTTGAGGAATAAGGATTATGATTTGCAGTTGATGATTAAGATTAGGAATTAGAATTAAGGCTTTTCATCACGAACTATGACATCAGTTAAAATGCCAACCAAATGGTTGAATAAATTTCGCGTCAAAATCCAAAACTTGTTATGATATTTTGTAAGCAATGATGGATAGTGTCTAGCAATGGAAATCAGAACGCGCGTTTCGTCCTATTTGGCACTTGTCAGCTGAAAGTAGCTGCATCTCAAGGTTGTTGATCACTCTGAGACTCGAACCCAGTAACAGACTGAGAAATTTCATTCTTAAACTTCGATGGGAAGATACAAGACAAACAATACCAAGTGAACTTGTTGTGATATATCTGATTGGTTCGTCCAGAAAAATTTCTTCTCTCAATGGATTGATTTAACTGGTGAAAGTTAAGCATAAAATTATTAAAATAACAGATTATAAATATAAGAAGGGGATTTTGTGGATATCATAATAATTTCAATATTTGAGATCATGAGTCAATTGAAGTTAAGCCACCGTTGAAAACCTGGAAACACTGGACGACCGTTTCGTTCTAATATGGAATTCCTCCTCGCGAGATCCAAACTCAAGACCTATCGATCTCGCGCACGAACTCTTAACCCCCAAACCATTGAGCCAGCATCCAATGGTGTTGATGTTTCACTTAAACTAATTCACGAAATTTAGCCATACATCCACTATTGTCTTTAGAGAGTTATCATCTTACAACAAACCTGGTTGAACTCCACTGGTTGCTGCTCCTCACTGGAACTCCAAGAAATACCTCTTGATGTCTAACTCCAATTGACTGATGATCTCACTGATTGAGATTATAAATAATATAGAAGTAAATTTGGAATAACGTACACTAATACACCTAAAATAATTGATTCTATCCCTGATTTTCCCAGAGATCGAACTACATAACTAAGGAAGAACAAAGATAATAATTGATTCATTAACTTACGATGTTGAGAAAATTATCATGATGAAGAGTGTATCAAGTAGTTGGATGGTAAGAATTATGAAAACCTGTCATAGTAAATAACTTTAATTCAAAACCATAAATCTACTATTTTCGCATATGTCGACATATTCGAAAGTTTATTTCTTCTTTTGTAAATCCATAGAATAATTTGAATAATTCCAAACATGTTTTTATCTAGAATTAGTATATAAAATAAATCAAATTATGTAATATGATACAGTTAAATTCATTAGTCTATTTAAAATTATGCGACTATTAAAAATCTGGAAGTATTAGACAGCTGTATCATCTTGTTATGAGATTCCTAGGAAGTGCATATCCACGTGACCCCAAACGGGACTGAAACTAATGCTTCCAAGTTTTTGAATGATGGTCTCGTATATGTCAATCCATGAACTCAATCAATCAATTACTGTGATATCCACGAAACCCCTTCTGATGTTATTCAATAGTGACGGTCTTTTTAAAGGCATTTCCTGGCGTTCTAGTTAGAAACGGTTTAACCCGGTCTGTTGTCAGATGGGAACTCACTGAAGACAATGAAGGACGGTGGCGCAATTTCAGAGATTGGTTGAAGTTAGATATTAACACCGGCCAGCTCAGTGGTCTAGAGATAAAGCGTTCGTACGTGAGACTGATAGGTCCTAGGTTGGAATCTCGCGAGGCGGAATCTTGAATGCTCACTGCTGAGGAGTCTCATACTAGGACGAGACGGCCATTCAACTCTTTCAGCTTTCCTATGGTGGTCTAACTTCAATTGACTCATGATCTCAACTACTATATATGTAAGTGCAAAGCGTATACAAACCAGTGTTATTTCGTCGTTTTCTATTAAAAACTATCAATATCCTGATCACACATTTCATAGAGCTTTATTGTAACAATTCAAATTCATCAGAATTAGTTTTGAATCAAATATCATCTTACAATAGACATCATATCTATAATCAAGAATGTCAAGAAGTAAGCTCGAATTCGAAGGTCATGTGTTCGATTGCCGCATGGAGGATTGTGGATGCGCACTACGGAAGAGTACCGTAGTAAGATGGAATGGTCATCTAGTGCTGTCAGGTTTCTAATGATCATCTATAGTCTTAATATAAACTCACTTGTGTTTAGTAAAACGTCTATGTGTAATATTATGTACATGATCTAAAATGTTGTTTATATTAACTTCATTAAAACACTTGAATGATTAAAAAATACAACTTGACTTGTTTTGCTTAACTAACTATGTACTCAAACATGGTTGAATACACAGGACATTATATTTGATCTTTAAAAAAAATGAACAAATTATTTGAAATGAACGGCAAACTGATTAACAAAAACAATACAATTCTCTTGGTTTTGTTTGTTTGCTTGTATCTTCTTGTTGTTGTTTTAGGACTACAACCGATCAATCTGTTGTTGGCATATGTGCATCATGTACGGATTGTCTCGACAAAGTCGTAAGTCATAAGCTTTTTGAGACAAGATGAATAGTGATTAGTAGTTGAATCCAATTTGATGTGCATCTCGACCTATTTGGGACTCGTCGGCTGGATATACTGGATGAACTCAGCAGTAAATTAGATAATACGATGGTGTTTGAAGCGAACGGTACTGTGTTTGAGTTTCGGAGTGAGCATCAACTCTGAGATGCAGGTACATCCAGATGACGAGTCTCAATTGGTTCGCCAACCATCAGCAAGATAGCTTTAGGTTTATTTGAATTTGTATCGTCTTCCTTTGAATTTTGTTGAACGATCACCTTACTTATAAATTTGTCTCGGGTATTTGTGGTACTCGGTTGTCTTTTATAAACAATACATTCCTCTCCAGGTATTGTTTGAGACTGCAACTGATGAGTCTCTTGTTGAAACCTGTGCATCCTGTACGGATCGCATCTATACAACCGTAAGTCACAGGCTTTTTAAGCAAAGATGGATGGTGGCTAGCAGCGGAATACAGTTTCAAACGAACGCATAACCTGTAGACCACTGCGCCGGCCGGTATTCGACGGTGTTAATGTCTAAATCCAACTAATCCATGAAATTGAACTACACATCTACAACTTCACTGGTCACGGCATCTCACTAGGACTTCAGGAAACAGCTCTTGGAGACCGTCACTAGTGAGCATATGTAGATTTTTATCCACAAAACCCCTTCCGATACTAAAATGTCAAATTGATTAATTTATTATGTTTAATTTCTGTCTAGTAAACAGTTTCAGGAAATTCATTTTCTTGAAAGAACTTTAGTTCATCTTTATTATTTTTCTTTAGTCTATCTGTAAGCATAGGATCGAGGTGTATGCTACTTATATTGGCAGATATACTTAGAGTGTACTACCGGTGAGAAATGGAATATCTGACAGTAGACGACTGAGAAGTTGAAAGTGAAGAAGACCGAAAGGAAACAGATGGGAATTGAAATAAAAGTAGAATTGGAAGAATCATTTAGCATATAAAGGACAGCTGATGATTAATGTGCAAATAATGTATTGAATCTATGAATTTCATATTTTACCAAGATATTCTGTGATTCTGCATAAACTATATGTTATGTCTTGTTGTTTGAATGGTAGATTCGACACTTAAGATCTTCTAGAAACCCTAAAAAGTGACGACGACCAGATCCAGAGAACATTGAAGCTGTGAAAAGTGTGCCTAGTCCTAGGAATATTCTTACCCTACGATCGTTCTTGGGATCGGTCAGTCATTATGATACCTTCCTCTCTGATCTCCATCGTCTAGGTGCTCCACTAAACCACCTACTAACGAAGAATACAAGAATATCGTATATCATACAGAATAATATATCATACAAGAGAACAACTACAACACTGAATAATCATCACATTCTATCAAAACACAAGTAATGTTGAACAAGACTCATAGTGATTAACTCAATCGAATTTAGACTTTTCTTCCCGTTACATCACTATGAATTGGATATACCCACCTAATTTCTCATTCACTACATTTCTTATCTCTGCCAAAGAACATGCGGAAAGAGGGAAGTTCTGTGGATGCTCTTGTGAGGCTGGGAGAGGAAACGTCGGTTGAGTCGGTCTAGTGCTGGGATAATGTCGAGTGTAGTGTTCAGGTGGTGCGGCCTCTAAACACTCATTCAATAGTAAACTTTAATTCACTTTGATCACTTTATTAGTTCACATACTTCATTTAATGTTATTGAACATATTTTCGCGTCCACACATTCAATTCTGTTGTCTATGGAATGAAGCAGTAATTACATCTGCATCAGCTCCACCTATAGCTCTTCTAGATCTGTTGTCCGTTTGATGCCCAGATAAAGGAGGAGAGTTAGGCATAGGATCGGTAACTTTATCCTGTAGAAAACAACTGTGTTAAAATTTTGACTGCTTAAATATCACTCGGTAATTCATTGTCCTCTTCATATACATATGTACTGAAGTCTAATCATTAGTCTTTGTCTTGCCTTGCCTCTGCATTTATGCAGTTTGACCATAAATGTGCTTATGAAACTGCTCGCGTATTCTTATTCGCCTCTCCGCTTCAAATACTCTCGATGTGCTTATAGTTTTGTGATCTCCTAATAAACTACTAGAGTTGTTGATTTTCTTCGCCAAGAAGACTATAATTTATGGACGAACCAATCAGATTTACGATAATATGTCTTGAGTTTTGGCACGAGATTGATTCATTCATTTAACTAAATAGAGTTTGGGCATTATGACTGATGTTAGTTCGTTGTGAAGACATATAGCTGATTCTTATCCCTAGCTATCAACTGTAAATATTAATCCTAATCTCTCACACACCGGTTTATGACCATCATTTAGCCGTAGTATGTAGGTGGACATTCTCAAGGTCTCTTTAGTGTTTGTCAAAGGTTGTCTCACCTTTTTGCGTCCTGATTTCAAACAATATTGAGGTCTATATAATAACGGTCAAAAGAGTGATTGATTAACGAAGTAAAGTCACTACACAGAAATGAGAATATTTGACACTACAAATTCTGTCTTCATCTTTATGCTCAAAGTCTTCGATCATATACAATAACTTCACTTGAATAATATGTATTATCATATATTTAAAACAGTGAATATGAAAACAAGTTTTATAGTCTGTAATGAAGTAAAACTATAAGTATTTATCATTAAAAAGTAAGATCCAGTTGAATTGGTTACATTCCAGTCGGTTACATTAAAAATGGATACATTCCAATTATTCCTTATGGTATAAACCAGATCATCAGTGATTGGTAAGGCAGTTGAAAACATAATGTACAATAATAATGCTGCTAAAGTATAATTTGGATAAAATAGTCGATATCGTGATTTTCCAACAGTGAAATGACTGAAAAATATTATCATCTATAAAATTAAAAAGAATTATTATTATATGGTTAAAATGGTTACATGAATGAAATGAACTAACTGATGACACTGGTAAGCAGAATTTCATACATTTGTATGAAGTGATTGAACAAGAAGCATTGAAAGCAAAGATAGATAGTGGTTGATAGTGAAATCAAGGATGTATGTTTACTTCCTATTTGAAACTTGTCAATTGGATGTATCTGTATCTCAGAGTTGATGTTCACTCCTGTGATCAAATCCAGTACAATCCAGTCCAAACACCATCACTTTATCAACATAGTTACTGAGTGCTAGGAGCAGTGAGGTGAAGCTTAAATTCACTTGATATTGTTTACTTGAATCTTCCAATTAATATTTAGGACTGAATTTGAGTGCAGGAGTGAACATGCACAAATGTCAATAAGAGACTAGTCAATTGTAATCTTAAACACAATACAATGACTAATTATTCAAGTCTGTCTAATGTATTACTTCCTGATTGATCTGTCTTAAGTACCGATTGTATAGTGTGTCATTTACGAAATCTGAATGATAAAACAGATCACATCTATTAGAAAGTAATTATACTTTAAATAAATGAAGTGTAAGTGTATTCAACTTACAATAAATAGTAATACTTCTGCACATATGAACAGAATTATCACTACCTTTACCTGTAAACAAATTAAATGTGAGAATAAATTCATATTTAAACAATCGGTATATATATAAATGTATAGCATAATTTATCAGTATACTTGTTGAAGAGATCCTGAATATGCTTTGGAAAAAATCTAGAGGTGCCCTATAAACACTAGAAAACATTTTGCCCAATCAACATTTAATACACATGTCTTAGGAGCATCTACAAAGTGAAGAGTCATGTGTCACATTTTTGAATGAATAGTTATCTATCCTGATACTATGTTTAGTAGGGTTGCGAAACCTTCCAGAAGTCTAAAGTCATCTGAACCTTTATTAATACTCTCAATTTTGTGTACACATACTAACCTTGAAGTAAAACGTTCCTTCTATATTTGTCACCTTTTCTTTCGTGTTCAAGTTGTGTCATGTAGATTTAGACTCAGGCTTATGAGAAGAGCTTATTTATTAATTATTTATTTGAACACATCTAGAGGGCATCAAATACATGTGTTCCACACAAGTCACTTGATTTCCGTGTAGTCTGTGATACTGCATATGTGCTTAAGCCGAAGCAGGTGGTTTTCTTAGGGGTCACACCCAGAGCGTTTGACCTAAAGGCCCACAAATGCCCTGCTACGGCCGTGATTGAAGAGAGTCAGCTCACCCTCATAGTCAGGTGCATACAACCATTGCCAAAGAAGTCCTACTCACTGCCTTCTCGTAAAATTACCGTTGTTTACGAAGTTGAGAGGTCGAAGAGTGAGTGTCTGGAAGGGTGTTAAGACGGGTTGGTGACACGAAGAGTTCACCTAGGGCAGCTGGAAAACCGTGATTCCAAACCAATGGTTTACATGAGCTGCAGTCCCCTGAGCGAACAAGTGGTGTACGAACCTTTTGTTGGTCACCGGCTACCATGAGACTGCATCTCGTTACGATGCTCCAATACCTTGTGGATCAGACATTTAGGTTGAGGGCACCGGGTGCAGCTGCTCAAGGGAACCGTCTGTTTCGGTCTGGGAACCACGTCAGTATCAATGCCTTCGTACAAGTCGAATGAGATTTGTGATGCGCATATGTATCTGTTGGCCGGGGAGGAGCAATGTCAACAGATACAGTCACATGGTAGCCAGTGACTGACGACTGGTTCATACGCCA